TATATATATATAAAGTGTGTTACTTGTACTGACACAGGTAGATGTTTATGTGTCACCTTCACTGACACATGTAGATGGTTATGTGTCACCTGTACTGGCACAGGTAGATGTTTATGTGTCACCTGTGCTGACACAGGTAGATGGTTATGTGTCACCTGTACTGACACAAGTAGGTCTTCATAAAATAATATGCTCATCTCATCCACCAAGACACAGGTAACATGTGCCACATGAATTGACACTACAAATACTTCATATGTCACCTGTACTGGCACAGGTAGTTTTTCGTATGTCGCCTGTATTGACTCTGCAATGACTTCACTTGTCACGTCCTGAACTGACAAAGGAAAATTCTCATGTATCATATGTGAGGCAACGGGATAAAATCAGGCGCTCGTCAAAGTAATGAAAGTGAAAAAACTGGCATTTTTCCACAGGTTTGGGAATTTTGTTGTTGTGAATTTTGATTTTTGTCTCAACACCTGTCATGCCCATTAAAGAACACATTGCCGTGAGGATTTTTACTGAAAACTTTTAGTTAAAGGCTTAAAAAATGTAAATGACAAGTTTCCTCGGATTCTCTAGCTAAGGAAATAACTAAATTTTGGCTGCCATTTTCTCCCTAATTTTATCTATGAAACCAGGCGACCCCCCCCCCCACCTCCTTTACTCGCAAATATCTTGACTTCTTTCCAAGACAATTGGATATTTATTTAATCAAAAGCAAGGCGAATGAACAGGCTTTAAGATGATGCCAATAACTCTATATGCCCAAAAATTAATGAGCACCTGATTCCACCAGGTTGTGAGACATATTATGTAATTTTTCATGTGTCACATTATGTTCTAATACAATGAAGAGTTCACTTGCCATCTGTACCGATGCTGCAAAGACTTCACATTATGTCACCTAAGCTGACACTGAAAAAAAAATTTATTCACGTGTCACATAGACTGACTACACTAAGGTCAAAGTTCAAGTCGCGAACAGATTCAATTGTTCTCCTGGCTCCTCATGTTCTTTTTTTTCCCTGCCCATGTATAAGAGATTGACGTCTTATGATTAGTAGTAAAAAGTGCCTATGACAGTGTCCAATAGTGTATTACGTGTATGCTTAGTATAACAAGTAACTGTAATAGCAGGTAGAGATTCCAGGATTATAGATGTAAGTCGTTGATCTGAGAGCGGTGACGATTTTAGATAATTATAGTGGTGGTGATGAGGGATGATGAGGAATTGCGTTTAAGTGATGTTAGCGTTAGTCCTATCTTCCTCTGCTCCAATGAGTCACGAGGGACGTGGTCACCCTCTATACCGTTCCGTACTGGAACCATCTTTACAGTCACCGGGAAGTTCCGAAATGGTGCGCTTAGTCTCTGTTAAGGTGACATTGTTAGTGTCAGTGGTCAGCCTATTCTATCAGCTCCTTATGTCCAAGAAGAGAATCTTATCTGTGACACCAGGATACTGTTTACCTTCCCATGGCTGGTGATGTGTCAGTTGTAACTTCTGACGTGTGACGTGTGACTCATGATGTGTGACTCATGATGTGGGACGTGTAACTGGTGATAGTTCTTGTATGTCTCAACGTATTAAACATTTAAGAATTTTCACCATCTATTATTATCTCTTCTCCACCCTACTCCTTCCCACACCACCCCTGCGCCACCCTTTCACCACCCACTTTCACACACACACATACACACACACACACACACACAAACGCAAACACTCACACTCACACACACACACGCCCACACACACATACACACACATACACACACACTCACACACATACACACACACACACGTACACACACGCTCGCACCTACACACACACATACACACACACTCACACACATACAC